TGTGTGTGTGTGTGTGTGTGTGTGTGTGTGTGTGTGTGTGTGTGTGTGAGAGAGAGAGAGAGAGAGAGAGAGAGAGAGAGTGTGTGTGCATGCTCTCACAAGCGCCAAAACAGGTTATCAGGTTAACAATGCCCTGCTCTGTCATTCTTTACCTTATTTCTTTGAGACAGGGTTTCTCACTGAACCTGGAGCTAGGCTGGTGGCCAGCAAACCACACCCATCCTCAGGTCTCTGCATCCCACACACACCCATAGCCCCAGTGCTGATTACAGGTGGATGTACAGCCAAACCAACTTTTTTTAAAGTGTGGGTGCAGGGATCCCAACTCGGGTCCTTATGTTCAGCAAGCACTCTTAAGCACTGAGCCATCTCTCCAGTCCCAAGGCAGAACATTTTAAGTCTAGCTCCTGTTGCTCTAATTTGACTAAATGGCACACTAGTATACACGGCCTCAGAGCCCAAACCTCAGCTTCGTCCCATTAGAAGTCTGATATGAGTGCAACTTGGTCCAACCTCACCTCTAAAATTATCACCACCAGGGACTGGAGAGATGGCTTAGATGATTAAGAGTACTGGCTGTTCTTCCTAGAGGACCTGGGTTCAATTCCCAGCACCCACATGGCAGCTCACACCTATTTGTAGCTCTAGTTCCAGGGGGTCTGGCACCCTCAGACAGACACACATGCAGGCAAAACACCAATATACATAAAATAAAAATAAATCATTAAAAGAAAAAAAATTTTTAAAAATTATCACCATCACTGCCTTCAACAGAGGTGAATTTCCTATCCCCAAACCTGATAAGACTAGGTTCTGCAGATCAATGGGAGAATTCTCAATTTGACTCTCAAAGATCAAGTCTATCACTTTTGTTATTTTTTTTTTAATTGAGGAAAAGAAACCCTGTTCTTCTGGCAAATGTCCTCATCTGAGGGAGACGGATGGCGTGCTATAACTCTGAGCTGAGTCGTTCTCTAAGACAAGGCTACAACCTTTGGGGATCCAAAGAATGTCTGCTCCTGATAAATTCCAAGAAATAGGGGACTCCAGACAGAGCTAGAGACACTGAGTGGCTCTAAGTAGCAATGCTTACAGCTACATACACTTAGCTTGACTTTATTAGTTTTCTGGGAAATGAACCTGTTGGGGGAGTTAACTGAATGCCTTGCCTTCCACACAATAAAAAAAAAAAAATAGAAATGAGATCATTCATGATAGTGAATGTAGCTGGTGCAATCACTCTCCTTTTTTTTCCAAAGAGCCCTTTAATTAAAATTTATTTTACCAGCAGAATTAACTTGATAAATTTATGTAACCAACAGATTCCAATTTACACACTCCAGAAAGTGGCACTTTTGTATCCCAGGGAATCTGTGTGTAATGTCCTGGAAAGAAATAAGACCTAATGGCCGGAAGCCCGAAGAGGGATGGTGGGATGGTTCTTCCTGACCAGTTTGGGCAGGTAGGGTGAACAGTCACATTTTCAATGTTTGGTTTCGGCATCATCATGTGATTGCCCTCCCTGGCGTGAGTGTGAGGACCAGACTGCCTCTGGCTCTAGCCCGCCTCTGCTGTGGGATGTTCTGTATGGCAAATGTGTTGCTCGGATTGGTCAATAAATAAAACACTGATTGGCCAATGGCTAGGCAGGAAGTATAGGCGGAACTAACAGAGAGGAGAAAAGAAAGAACAGGAAGGCAGGAGTCACTGCCAGACGCCTAAGGACAAGCAGAATGTGAAGATGCTGCTAAGCCACGAGCCACGTGCCATGTGGCAAGGTATAGATTTATGGAAATGGATTAATTTAAGATATAAGAACAGTTAGCAAGAAGCCTGCCATGGCCATACAGTTTGTAAGCAATATAAGTCTCTGTGTTTACTTGGTTGGGTCTGA